GCGGGACTGGCCTAGGGGATTTTATAGGGGTTTTAATTACTTTTAATTGGACACTTTCAAATATTTCGTTTTAATTAAATTTTAATTAGGTGTAATATGTATTTATGTTAGCTTTTTATCATCTGTCAGCCGCCCTGAGTCCGAAAGGAGAAGGGCGGGATATAAATGCAATTAATAATAATAATAATAATAATAATAGTTCACTGTTGGCTTCTACCAGGCTTTTTTTTTTTTTGTACTTGTCAATCTAACCTACAACCCTAGCATTTTATAGCAGTCCCCTATCTGCATATGAACCAGATCTAATCCTGTGCGGCTTCTGAGCCTATGAAGGCCAGATGCTACTTCTTAGGGTGCGAGGGCAAGGTGATTAGTCCACAAAATAGCAAACTATGCATCTTGTGGAGTAGGGCAAGCTTTGGGAGATAACAAAAGAAAGGTGAGACGATTACCGTCAACAAGGCAAGAATATTGTAGTCCAGGGGTCCCCAACCCCCGGTCCGTGGACAGTACCTGGCCAGCAACCGGTCCACACAAACAAGCAAAGCCCCATCCGCGGGATGCAGGCAGCACACAAAACCACGCCCCCTCCAGTCCGCGGAAAAACCTCTCTCCACGGAACTGGTCCCTGGTGCCCAAAAGGTTGGGGACCTCTGTTGTAGTCCATTTAATGCCTCGGTGAAACATGAAGACTTGGGGGACATAAAGCAAAGTATATTTTTTTGCTATTTATAAAACTCCTATCTCACTTTTCTGCCCAGTGGGATGCAGAGACTTGATGAAGGTACATGCTAATAAAATATTGGGAGTCCGCATCTGGCCTCAGCCCACTTGTAATTAATTAGACTGGTAGTAGTAGATCGCTAGAACATGTGGGTTTACTTATTTGGTGCGGTGACGTTGGGCCTATCCAGAACAATATACAATGAAACATTCATCATTGCATCAGCCCTAGAAAAGCACATTGGAATCTCTTGGGCTGTTATTGAGCATGCATGTAACTATCATCTGTTGAAATCAACATCTTTCAAGAACTTAATGTCGGCTGAATCGTGCTTTCTGTTTGGAGAGACCATTTATTCCACTAAAGCACGGGTGTCAAACTCGCCAACGTCACGTGACGTGTCGCGATGTATCGCGACTTTTTTTTTTTTGCATTGCTGGGGCGGGCGCGGCCTCCGTATAATGCAACCGGCCCGCGGGCCAGCAGTTTGACACCCCTACACTAAAACATCACCCGGCATTTTATGTAATCTTCAAAATCAAGCGGGCGGCCGCAATGCTGAATCATGGCTGAGATGACCCAAAGAACTGATTCACACTGTAGATAAGTTCTGACTGGGTGTTTTTCAGCCCAATGATCAAGCATAGAGCTCAGCGTAAACGCGGTACTGTCTCTAAAACAGCCTTGCCAACTCAGTGCCTTCTGTATGTGCTGCTCTTTACTCTCATAAATTCTAGCCACATATTGCTCCTAGTAATAACCATCTCTCTGGGACCTTTGCAGTGTCTTTAAGGATAGCTAGGGAACACAGATTCCACGGGAGATCCATCAGACCTTCCCATTGGCTCACGGGCAACATTTTCTTAATGCCAAGTCTCTGCTCCATCTCTTGACCTGGAGCCTTGCAGTGAGTGTAATTATATGCCAAACGCCTCTCCCAAGAGGCCAAGGTTTGTTTGTTTTTTTTGCTTCCAGCGTTGAGCGACTTCAGAAAAATTGCACATATAGATCTGCATGCAACTTGGCTTTTAGAACCAAGGGCAGATTTTTCTAAGCCAGTTCGCTTTCTTATTTTCCTCTTTATAAAAACACCAGACTGGATTTTCAGTAATAATGATGGAATTTCACCTTGTGCACCATACGCTCCCAGTCTTTATCTGTACAGACTGATTCCAGTTTATTATTTCCACAGACCCTCCGACAAAATCACAGCCTGAAAGCTACAATCCTATATGCACTGATCTGGAAGCAAGCCGGAAAAGTGATTGGGGCTTACTTTTAAGTAGACGTGAATAGGATTCCACTATAACTCGTAAAATAATTTTGACACTTCTATCACACATATTAAAAAGGCAGGTTAAGAAAAGAGTAATATTAAACCTATTTCAGAATATATAAAAGAAGAATTAAGGCTACCTGATGGACATTTTAGAAATGCAGTGGCATACTTTTCCCACTAAATCTACAGAAATAAGGCAGACCTGTGTTTTAAGTATATTGTATGCATGGAAAGGCTTTACGTTTCATTCAATGCCCATTGGATTAATTGCAAAAAAGCAAAATAAACAAAAAACAAAAAAACACCCTTGCTAATTTTTGTAGCTAAATTTGTTTAGAACAAAAACATTTTTGCACAAAGTAGCTACACAACTGGAAATTTCAGGCTCAGAAAAAAAGCTTTTTCAGAAAGAGCAGTTGGTGTATCCATTCTAACTAGTCATACATATACCCCCCCAAAATCCCTTTCAAATGTGTGGCATCATTCTTTGATGCTCCAAGCAGCCTTACTTATTGGTCACCTATTTCTGTTGTACCATAATTTGATTGTAAATGTATTACATTTATTAAAAATACATTTTAGATTTCTATATTCTGCAAAATCAACTTCTGTTAGTGAAGATTCACTAGCATATCAGCCCGCTGTATTAAGAAAGCTCTTCTGTTGAAGATGGAAAATTAGTATCTAGATTCCTTAGAAAACACTCTCTATTCCTACTTCTTAAACTAGGTTTAATGTACCAAAACAGTCAAATAGAAGAGCTTTTGGTGTAAATATTTAAATCCTAAAATGATTTAGTTTGTTAGTAATGACTTTAGTACTGTGTTTTAACAAAGGACAAGTAGTAGTTATAAACTATACTTAGTAATACTGAGAACAGTAGATAAAGAACTATTCCTCTATGCTTATGGAAAAAAAATATTCTCATTTGATTTAATAAGCTATTGAATACATTTTGGAAATACCTATCAGTTCCCTTTTGTTTGCATTATCTGTAAAAAATAAAACATTACTTCGTGTTAATCCATTTCATGCTTTCCAAAAGTGGTTTCTTTTTGATATGTAATTCGTCTCAGGTGCTAATCCACCAGCAGCTTATATAAACTTCAGGAAGTAAATATGCCAAAGTCTTAAGTGGTCTTCTTTTTTAAAAAAAAATATATATATATCCTGGTAGGAACAGGTATTTACACAATCACACTGACAATGATTCACCGTAGTAGAAATTTTATCCGTCTGAGATATGAATGCCCTTGAAACACAAATTGAAGTACCCGTGGCTGTTTTCTTTATTCATCCATCCGCTGAAATAGCAAACACAGGTTGAGCCGCTACGGGAGTACTTCAAAGGAAGAAGGATGCTTGACAACTGGCTTCTCAAAGTTTTTCACCAACCAAGGGAGATTGTGAGACCACTTGTTGAGGGACATGAGCATTTGGCAGGTCTTCGCCGTCTTTTTTCGGAGTGCTTCTCCTTACAAAACTGAAAGTTCACGAGTCATTATTTTGATCTTGCCTCTTGCCTTTTTCATTTTACACCGCTCCAAAGTTGTCCGCCCCCCTTTCCAGAGTTACAGGAAGCTGTCCTCAACTAGTTCTGAGGAATCCATGCCAATGTCATCGATAATGTCAAGGTCATCCACGGTTTCGTCTTCTCGCTTCACGAACGTAGAACTGCTGGATCCGGTTTCGATGGCGCTTTCCTCAGAGGTCTGAGAACTGGGTCAGGGCACAGAAGAAGAAAAAAGTTAGGAAGATAACAAAGCAACGCAGGAAATCCTTGACTTATTTGTTCGTTTGTCATATGTACAGTAGTGGCCAAAATTGTGGAAACCTTTAGGGAAAAGTGTATTTTTGAGGTTTGATGGCTAATAACACCACTTTTATTTTTGGAGTAGTACTATAATATTATATATCAATGGAAAGATAATTTAATCAAGAATGTAAAGCAACAAAGTTAGTTCAATTATCTGTACTGTATTCTATGAAAGGTTATAGCCAAATAACCAGAAAAAGGAAGCACAACTTGGTTGATATCAGGTAGCTTTCCTTCATCTGATTGTAGCCAATGAGCGTGAATGTTTAGAGAGCCAGTCAGGTGTCATCTTATTTTGGCAATGAGCCAATCAGATCAGAATACATGATCTGATGTATTGATGTCATGTATTGAAGCTGAGAGGAGGACATTTGTCAGTGTATTATGTGATCGCTATCAAGCTGGTTGGGGTTTTTTGTGTTCTTTCATTTGTAAAACGTAATAAAATTAAAGTCATGGTGCAAAGAGTTGACTGGTTGCCCAGAAAGCGATGTAAAATAGTATTATTAAGTGAACAAGGCTACAGTTATAAAGAAATTAGAAGAAAAATGGGTGGAAACTTAACCAAAGGTGGCATTTCTACTGTACACTTTTCCCAAAAGGTTACCACAATTTTGGCCACTACTGTATATGGCCGCCCATCTCACAAGAAAT